CAAGAAACTTCATAGTTGGCGAGAATACTTGACGATAGACAACAAAAATCTAAAGAGGATCTTATGAAATATGGGCCATAAAATGAGTTAAAGCTGGCGGGACTTAGACGTGTTAGTGCAGGTGTACAGCTGCCTAAATGAAATTTCACATATATCTGTTAAGGGAATAAATAAAGATATATGACAGCTAATTAAAGCTGTAATTAAAGTAGTGCTAGAGCCAGAGTAAGTAAAATCAAAACCGGTAAACATACTGGTAGTTTAGTCTACCATGTAAAGCGTAAATCGAAATCAGGCCAGTAATTTGGATTATGTTATTTTTGACTGACCAAAGGCAGAATAAGACGAAATTAACAGACGAATTTTTATTTTTCTTTCGAACTATATTTACAAACGTATTATAGAGGTTTAAAATTATCACTGTGTAGAATCTGAAATTCTCGGAAAGGTGGTTATTAAAACTAATGTTTTCTAGGATATAATGTCGTGTAGTCTGTTGGACGTCAACCGACGTTGCTACCTGCTTCACGCTGGTTTCTTCCTTTGCTCATTCTTCGATCCTGAAGAGGTTAGCAACATGTTCCTCCGCAACGCCGGTTGATTTTCAACGGTCTGCGCGTGGTTACATTCCAGATAGTAGAACTCTCCAAAATTAACCTACCTACCTACCTACCTACCTACCTACCTACCAACCCACCCACCCACCAACCTACATACCTACCTACTTACCTACCTACCCACGTACCTACCCACCTACCTACCATTCTTTCCTACAATCATGGGTGAGCCTTGGCCTCCTCTACAACAGTCTCCACAGCTCTCTCTTCCTCATCTTCTCTATCCATGCTTTCACCTTCTTCTTCTTCTTCAGGTCGTTCCCAACATTGTCTAGCCATCTTATTCTGGGTCTTCCTTTTCTCCTTTTGGAGTCATTGCATTACCTTCCATTCCTTCGATATGCCCCAACGATCTTATTCTCTGTGACTTGATAAATCTTACAATATCTTCTCCTTTCATAACACGTTTATCTCCTCGTTATATCTTATTCTCCATATATTATTTTCCATTGCTGGTCCGTATATTTTGCTTATTATTTTTCTCTCGAACCTTCTCAGTGCCTCCAAAATTATCATTGTTTTAAAAACTTGTCAGGAGAAGGCGAGTACCTGATAGGGATGAAGGAGTTCTAAGGGAGCAGCAAAAGATACTGCATGACATGAAACTTTTCATCTAGTATTTTAGGTTACAGAAACGAAGGGTGCAACAATTGACAGGTCGTGGGGGTAATGTGAGGTAGAGAAGGAATCCATATAGAATTTTGTTTGGATGAGTTCTCGAAAAACCAGAATTCGAAGTCCAGAAAAGAGGTGGGAAGAGTAACATTAAGCTCGAGCTTAAGTTGATTTGTTATGAGGTTAAGAGGTCGATACAAAACGTCAAATCAAGAAGGACGAGAAGGGCGTTAGAATGCAAGGATCAGTCGCAGTTACCTCGCTCGTGAAAGTCATTATTCTTAAAACCCTACCCTACACAATACTGGAATATTTGGTGCGACTGGAGAACACTAGAAGCAACCTGTCGGGATAATGAACTCGCACTTCTGCCGTCCGCAGACCGCTGGCAGCTGGTGCGAACGTCAAGCCCCGTCTGTCTGTCTGTCTGTCTGTCTGTCTGTCTGTCTGTCTGTCTGTCTGTCTGTGTCTAAGTAATGAGTCACAGTTCTGTTTACAATCCCCGCGGAATTTCAAACATCTCCATTCATTCTGTTCCCTCGTTCAACATTCTCTTTTTCTTTTGGACTCTGTTCATATCCCTGACTTCAATCGTTTAAACGTCAGACACTTACAGCCAAAACCGGCATAAGTTTCTTACATAACTAGGTACTTTATACTTGAATACATATATGTATGTGATTTTAGGGGTTTCTGCATGTAAAAGGGCTTTTTGATTGAATGATTGGATTTATTGACATTTCATTCACACAACTCAGAACTACAGACAATTACAGTGCTGCCGCTGATCTACACACTTTACAGTTCACACTTACACACGCACTATAGTTCTCAGTCTTCACTAGTCGTATCTTGGCAACGGATTTATAAGAGTCTCACTTCCCTTTAAATCACACATGAAGACTTCTTTCCACAGCCTAATTCCTTACTTCCCATTATTTTGCAAGTACCAACTCAGTTCAATTGCTATGCTCCCAAGTTCATATCCCGGCAGGCTGGCGTCTTGATACTCGACTAACTCTTCTCAACTGAAGTCTTCTTTATACAACGTTACATGGACAACGCAGAAAATACAGCCTCTCTATTGTTGGGAAGACTTGTTTACAGAACCGTTGCATAGCAACGGAAGTTACTCGATTGTTTTATGCGTATTCGTTGCCGCGGGAATGTGTTTACCGTGTCGTTGCCTAGCAATAAACGACTATTCTGACTTCACTATACCGGGTTTCGGTCATGTCAGTAAATAAAAAACGAAAATGAGTAAGAAAGGAAGAAGCACAAAGAAAGAAAAAGGAAAAGAAAGAATAAAAAGATAAGGTAAAAAAGAACGGAGAGAGAACAAACTTGGAAGACTGGACTACTGAAGAACTAATTCTCCTCTCCTCTACGCCATTGCCCTCTGGGAACTAAGTGTCTGTTGTTTATATTTCACTACACTGATTCCGGGAGCTGTCGCGAACAGTAGTGCTACTATCACAATAATTTATACCGTGGATTTCTTGACGCTGTAGTTCATAAATTTAAAAAGAACCAATGAGAGAAAGGCCACTGGGATTAGAGGGGCTCGACACGGAAGCCAGGTCTGTCTGCACATCTGATATAGTTCACCCACCTTTAGAGATAAAGCAGGATTGGTGTATAAAGGCTCCCTAATGGCTTTACACGGTAGCCACGCTGATGTTACTAAAGGTAGGGAAATAACAAAAGTTGCAATTATGAACGAAATGCCTTCTTTGCTATTTTGCACACCTCATTGACTTTGCCATTCATTTATTGCAATTATACAACAGGGGGCCGGCTTGTAAGGCTGACAACCTTACCGCCATCTGTGAGCCGATTGTCTAGAAAATGTAGGAGCCTCGACGTCTCACAGCTCTGTGGGCCTCCATGGTCTGTTACAGGCTTAGCTTTACCTTTTTTAGTTCTTTAAATATTCTCCTTCAAAGAAACTTTGTAGCTCTGAGAGACTTCAGTAAATATATATATATACATATATATATATGAAGAAATAATCTATTGTACGAATAATCGTAATTAAACTGTTTGAAAAAATTCAGTTTCGGACATGCAATATTTGGGTTATAATGTGCCGTTACGTAAAGAATTTTGACGAATTTGCACAATAAACTTTACTGTAGATCCTGTATACAATATTTCTCAGATATTCATAGATCCGGAGATAAAAAGATACAGGTAGACTGGTAGACACTGCACTCCACCCTATGCGTTCATTCTTTATGTGGTGTGCAAAATTACATGAAATACATAAATAGGGATTTTTTTCAAATTTCTTCATATTTTTACTAAAGCTTACTTTTTTCATTAGATGTAAAGTTATTAGAGTGTGCTTGGATTGATAAAAACTCACATAAAGAGGGCAACATTGAACTTCTACGCTCACATTTTCCTAGATGGGAAGTCTTAAAAAACTTCGGATCAGATATTCCCGCGTACAATATTTGATTCTTCTTTCTTCTGACCACTACTTGGAAGTACGGAGTGTATGGTTACCGCTACACTGGTTCCGACACCTGGCACGGCACGTTTTCCCCCACAGATCCGCCACGGTAGCCAATATTTCACGTCTCGCTTTTTCTCTGTAATCTAACTTTACCTTATCTTACAGAAATCTAGAAGTGACAACACTGCTTCTAGCCTTATTTTACACAGCAAAGATATGTTTTTAAACACGAGACCAAGCTTCTCTGTGGAAACAGCGGAAATTACGTGAAAATATTGTAACATAAATGATCAATACGTTGCCAGGCAACAGCTCTGTAAACACGGCCCAACAAGCAGCAGTGGAACAACGGGGTTATGCATCCCGTTTCTAAGCAACGACTCGGTAAACACGTTTTCGCATATCGGACCGTGCTATAAAAGCGGTGAGTTCATCAACAATAGAGACGGTGTTTTCCGCGGGGTCTGTGCGGAGTACTTATAAGAGAAGGGAGTGATAGAATTAGTTCAGGGGCAGTTACGAGAAGTGAGTCCAGAAGAATTTTGAGTTCCGAAATTCCAGAGTGATTAAGAGTCAGTCCGTCAGTCTGTTAAACTGCTGCTGGTCCTCGCCAGCACAGTCGGTTTTGGCTTCAGTTCTCGTCGAGTTCTACGACCGATTTTTTTTTTCTTCCATACATATTCGTGTATAGAAGTGGGGCCTTTTAATATTGGTATTCATATTGTGACGAATATGATCATTTTCTAGGCAACGGATAGGTAAACACTGCCTAAAACCAAATAATAGAAGAAGCGGAAGTCATTTTTGCTAATCAACGGCTAGGTAAACATTTGTTTCCGCGGCAACGAATGTTAACAAGGACACTAACATGATAACAAAACAGAACAGAGGAACTCTAAGAGATGGTGACTTCTATCCTGGCCGCATGGCAGTTATACAAGAGGCTGATTCATGCATTCAGAAGTAGCAGATATCAGTCAGATATAGTGAGAGATGACACCGAGATTCTTCATAGAGTTTCGTAAGACAGACGCTGTTCAGAAGGAGGTCATAAGTGAGCTGTTATAATTGACTGTAATTATAAAGAAGTGTCACTAAATCCAATGGTGAAATCCAGAAGCCATTATTATTAGTCACATGACAATATAAGGACGCTTTCTTCTTTAATCTATTTCCATGGCCAATCTTAATTCGTATTGTTGAGAATCTGCAATAAGATTTGACTATTGGCGCAGACCGATAGACGACATACTCAGTGTATGCATTCACAGGAGGGATCATATGCAGTCAGTAACTTGTAGACTCACCTTGAGAGGATGTGACGAATTGCAGCTCGGCGCTGTAGCTGTCTACCAGGCGTCGAATCACATTGATCTGCTCCAGCGTCAGTTGGACGGCATCTTTATACTGTGCCTGGCACGGAACGTACGCAGACCAGAACTGTGGATCACAACAATTGTGTTTCAGTCTGTGTACTTGATCTCAAGGGCCTCTGACACATTTTGATTTCACGTTTAGATAGAACTAACGCCTGGAGCTCAGTGCATATGCGGACGGCCATTAGTCAGTGTTAGGGGACTAAAATTACAACAAAAAGTGTTTTAACTCCAGTGAGTTTACAGGGTCCTTTATTTTACGTAGTTCTATCGTGTATTTTAAAGTGTAAACATAAGATAAAAATATCAGAGGGAAAATGTTTTCACTAACTTGTTTCAAAAAGAAAGCCTAGCATCAGGCATAGGGTACCCCAAAATGTGTGAATCTTATGCACAATTCGGAAAGAAGGAAGACAAAAAAACTGTCTTATTCCTTTGAGACAGAGAAGAGGAATGTACAAGGAAAACTTGAAGAGCAAAATCTACAAGAATGTTTCAAAAATAATCCTTCACAAGAAACTTATCTTCTAAACCAGGAGGAAAATGAACAAAGAAGACAAGAATATTGGTAAAATTAATTTTTATATGGGAAATACTGAAATGAAAACAAAACAAAAATTGTAAGATTTGAGGTTTTCACGGCGGTGACTATGAGGAAAGCAGTCTTCTGGGATGTGGCACCGTGTAGATGTGGTGTTAACCGACGTTTCGGAGGAACGTAACGCCTCCATCTTCAGGGTAGAAGGAAAAATAAGAAAATCCGCAAGCAAAGAGACTGTGAGAACCGGTACAAGCAGACTGCTTGTCTGTTGTCTGTTTTACCGGTTCTCACGGTCTCCTTGCTTGCGGATTTTCTTATTTTTCCTTCTACCCTGAAGATGGAGGCGATACGATCCTCCGAAACGTCGGTTAACACCACATCTACACGGTGCCACACCCAAGAAGACTGCTTTCTTCAAAACAAAAATTATTATGACGAATTTCCTCAGGACCAAATGTGTGAAAATCAGGTCCTTTAACGTGATGAAAAAAAGAGATAAAATTTTCGTGTCGCGCGTTTATTGCATTTCTCAGCTATTTTCGAGTTTAATTCTCCCATCGTTTGTTCAACACTTATAAGTTATAACAGACTCTCATAAGTTATTACTAAAAATTGTGCTCAAAATTGAATTTGTAAATTGTCTGGGACGTAACTGGTGATTAATATTTCATCCTAGTCTTTCAGTTATTCCTACCTTAGTAAGACAGTTAATGTGTAAGTTCTTGCCATGGCCTCCTGTCAGAATAATTGAAGGAAACGCTATGCCTCCTCGGGTATTAGAAATAGTGCAGGAGCAGTAAAGTGGGGCACGCGGTAGCGTAGTTGGTTGAGGCACTATGCTGCAGGCCGGAAGGTGGCGAGTTCGATACCCAATGAGGTAATTGGAATTTCCAATTAACCTAATCCTTCCAGCCCCATTATGTCTCTGGGGCCGACTTAGCTTCTAACAGAAATGCGTACCAGAAATCTTCCTGGGGGTTAGGCCGAAGCGTAAGGCTGACAACCTCACCGCCATCTGTGAGCTGACTGTCTAGATAGAAAATGTGGGAACCTCGTCGTCTCAAAACACTATGGGCCTCCAAGGTCTCTTACAAGGGTAGGCTTTTACAATTACTTGAGTAGAAATTCGCTGTGGGTCAGTGGGTTCGATGCACTGAAGAGTCAGAGGCAAGTGCCTGAAGTTCTTGGATTTTATAATCTCAATTGTACACTATTTGCATAAAGACATTCTCTTTAAATTAAACTTCTCTGCAATTAGGATCTACAAGCGTCTTTAAAGTTTCATATCTGTTAACAATAAACTTCAAGGACTATATATTACTAAACAATTTCGTGATAATACCAGAGACTTGCCTTTAAAATTGCGTTATTTAACGATTATAACTTATGAAATTTGATTAAATATATTCACTATATTCATTGTGTATTTTTATAGTACCGCGTAAACAAAATTATAAAATCAAGTATTGGTTTTATCATGTTTGTCAGCCATCTTTCTGCAAGACCTAGCATCCAACCACAAATACCAATTTAAATAAAATTCGATATGCCATACCTAGATCAAATGTTACGGAACCACTTTGACCGTAGTTTCAGTCACTGCGGAGTTTCCTACCGGTACCCAAGAAGTTTATATTCATAATGCATTCCAGCTATTGCTTCTGTTTAGAATTTTCTACATTGTTCAGTTAAAGATGGTTTATCAAATTTAGTCTTAAACATAAGTAGGTTACTAAAAAATTGAGGGCATATATTTATTCACAACACCGTAGCCATTCTAGGCATCATCACTTATGCAATATGTAGGTACGTTATCTGCGAACGTGGCCTCATTTCCCTAGACGCTCATCTTCAGGCTCGATTGCCTCCCGACAACCAAGTGAAAGGTCTCCCCAGATTCTCTTCAATGGACTGAGATACGAATCTTCAGCACTTTCATGTAAAGAAGAGTAATTTTACGCTACCAGGAAATTAGCAGCATGTCGATATATTGAATTGATATCGACATCGTTACTTTACGCGATATCAAAACGTATCGATTTATCGATATCAAATGACATCCTTAATATCTTTAAAAGCTTCTCGACGGCGTCTGATGAGACCACTTCTTTTTTGTGGGATGTGTACGATGCTCTCTACGTCGATACTGTGCAGCGTCAAGTGGAAGGACGATAGATAAATGAGTTGGAAAGGATTTGGAAAGAAGAGGTCGTGGCCTGATTCAGGTATTATCCTATCATTTGCTTGGAGGGACTGAGGAAGGCCACAAAAAATCTCAGACAAGACAGCCGATGTCTCGGTTGAGATTCGAAACAAGCACCTTTCGGAAACAAGTTTAGGAAATTAGCTCTAGAGCAGACTGCTCGGTGATAAAATGTGATTCATCGCGCTTCTGTTATATGTCCGTTACTTTGTATAAGTCCTACTTCCTTTAATTAATGTTACGGCCTACATTAATCTACATTTTTGCCATGCCACAACTTATAGCATATATATATTAGAGGAAGTGACCTGAATAGAACTTATAGGAATCCAATATACCCGTATATATTATATTTTACAGATGACTTTAATAAAATAATTGAATTGGAGAAAATAATTACTGTAATAAAAATCTCGTTAAGTGCGAGCCATCAAATATTATGTTTTTGGACATTATCCATAGTCTTATCTTTAACTAAAAAACGTCCTGTTTATTTTTCTTCGGAGATAGGGACTAGCTCTATCGATTGGGCCCAACTGAGTAGGTTTCACATGAAGACGGAGACAGAATCCAGTCTCCTGAACGTTGTGTTTTGTATAATAAACAGAATGGTTTTTAGATGAAGACAAGACAATAGATAGTATCCAAAAAACAAAATATTTATACTAATGTACCATCGTTGCGAACTTTTAGATCTTATTTACCCAGAGATGACAAGTTTCTTTGAGGCAAATTCAATTTACAAAGAAGCAAGTGCATATCATTATAGCGGACAGATAACATACGTTAACGGGGCCATACGAGGGCACGAAGTACGTCCGTTGCAACGATCGTACTTTATGACGGACGTTGCTGAGGACATCACACAGTTGCAGAATGCGGTGCGTAGTATTTTGCTTGCAATGGAGTCAGAAGAAAGCGTAGCATTCGCCTCTCTTTTGTTTTTTTATATTTAAAAGCAAGGAAGACAAGAAACAACGGACGCATTTTGTGCGCTCGTGTGGCCCCAGCCTTAATGCTTTTCCCAAAGGTGCACTTGCCTATTCTTCTAGTTAGTGTTATTCTTCTCATTGGCTACTTAAGAAGGCTTGGTGAGGACTGCATAGTTCTATGTGGTTGCATGTTGGCGGACTAAACATTTAAATCGCGTGTCTGTTATGGTACTTACTATATTTATCCTAGGAAATGAGCTACTCGTATGTACACAGTATCAGATTTGTAAGAGAGCATATGAGTATGTTTCAAAGGGTAGTCCTCTAGTCACATGATATGCAGTCTCTTCTTTGTAAATTAAGTTTGCCTCAAAGAAATTTGTCATCTGTCGGTAAATAAGAAATTTAGGTTATGGCAAGTTTTTGCTGTTATTTATTATAATAAATAAAAATGCAGATTTACTTTTCCTGATTTTAGAGTAGCAAACGTTTCAGTAGAATCTGTGGATTATATTTTTCTTCTGTGGAAGCCACGGGGCGACCTCTAAAACTGGCCCTGTTCAGGGCAGGTTTCTTTCCACATATTACAGCGTTCCGTATATAATGCCTCCTATTTTTTTAAAGAAAACTACAACAGATACAGAAAGCATAATAATGCAGTTAAATAGAGCAAGATTTCAGCTACTTACAGTTA